TTTTAAAATATAGTTATACACTATATAATCTACAGTGAAAAATATATAGGTATGCAAGCAGAAATGTAAAACATTTAGTTTAACTTTAAGTTAAGAAAACATGTCATTGTAATTATTGGAACTACTATTTAGATGGTTCCAATAAAAACATAAAAAATGTTTTATCCGATCTTTCATTTCATTTATGCTTACCAAGCTTCTACTTGTTACTTTTTTTTTATACATGAGGTTAACACATTTTATGTAAAAGTTTTTTAACTTTCCATTTGTATACTTACCATATTTTAAATGAATAATTAAATATTACTGTGTACTGGGTTAGTGAATGAATCCCTGACAACCAAGCAGCTATCACTGGTATCTCAGAAACTGCTATTTCACTCAGTACAAAGAATATATGGTGGTTTTGTACATAAGTTAGTTGTATTGTTAGGTCTAAAAAGAATAAAAATGTAAAAATATTTTTATAGATAAATATAGAATATTGCATTTTAATGTTTTGGTTTTTTTTTGTTTTGGAACCAGTAAGTGATGTTTTTTTGCTTATTTATAAAGTTATAGAGTTATGACTCAAAAGAATAAAAATGTAAAAATATGTTTATAGGTAAATATAAAATATTGCATTTTAATGTTTTTCTTCTTTTTTTTTTAACCAGTAAGTGATGCTTTATTGCATTTTATAAAGTTATAAAGTTACGACTCAAAAGAATAAAAATGTAAAAATATTGTTATAGCTAAAATATTAATATGCAATATTGATATTGCATATTAATATTTCACTTTTTTTTTTTTGAGCCAGCAAGTGGCGCTTCAGGCTTTAGCAAGTAGCGCTTTATTGCCTATTTAGTTAGTTATATACTGAGGAGTAAAAAGAATAAAAATGTAAAAATATTTTTATAGCTAAATAAAAAATATAGCATAATAACATTTAGCATTTTTGTGAAGCAGCAGTGGCGCTTTATTGCTTTTTTTGTTAGATATTTAGTTAGGACTAAAAATAATAAAATGTAATAAAATATTTTCATTGGCAAAGCATCCAGCACTTGTCATGGCCGTCGTTCCATTGCTGTAGAATATAAAGTACCTGAATAGTTGAGTAGAGCGATTTTCCATATTTCCTTCTATATGCCACTCGGATGCTCAGCAAATCCTCCTCACTCCGAGAAATAAGAATGCGGCTAAGAGCCTTGTCATCCGTTCCCACACCCTACCGGAGGACACAATTCTGTAAAAGTCACTCACAATGTATTTGAAGGATAATGGACCTATACCAATTGCACCGCACAGCAGTGGGAATGGGTTTGGTGTGAACCGTTACCCCAAAGAAAGGCTCATATCCTAATCTAACACTTTAGAATATACATAAGAATAATATTGTGGAAAAAAGATATTAATCACCTTCATTACATTGTTCAGTTTGTCGGCAAAATAAAGAGGAGTATCCTTAATTACAGCCACTGTGAGATGGAAAAAAGATAAGAAGAAGTCACTGCCGTAGATAACAAATGCTTATCAAGTTTTATCATTACATTAAAAAAAAATACATCTGCTTACATTGGTCAATAAATTGTTAAATAGAATACACCCAATGCCCAGCTGATAAAGCTGGCTCCTAGAAAGTATAGACTCTGCTTTATATGAAGCAACAGTAGGGCAAATTGATAAATCTTTCACCCAGAGAATAGCTGGATGAATGCTGTTCACATGGTGATACCACCACTAGATGGAGCTGAGGAGCATAGGAAATTCCTATGCTCCTCAGCACCATCTAGTGGCGGTGGTGACGTTCACTGAAGATTTATAAATCAGCCCCAAAGTATAACTCTTATACAAGAACAAGCAAAAGAAATGGCCAGTAGGACTTTCCAGGTGCTACTTCAACTGATTCATACAAAATAATTATTTAACGTTTAGAAATACTTTGTTTTATTTTACAATTAATTCAATACAATAAATGTATACAAATTTATTTGCTAAAAAAAAATGTTGGTGCCTGTCTACAAGATTGTTAAAATACAAGAACAGCCAAAAATATAGGCAATAGGACTTTGTCTTCTTTTTCATCAGGTGCTATTTCAATGGATTCACAAAAAATAATTCATAAAAGTTTAAAAATACCTTGTTTCATTAATAAATTAAATTAACAATTGAATTATTTATTATTAATATTATTAGTATTAGTAGTAGTAGTAATAGTAGTAATAGTAATTTCAATACAATAAATGTATAAAATTAATTTTGGTGTTGTCTAAATAGTACACATGAAAACAGTTACGTCTACATGTTATACTGCCTTTACATTATATGCCCCACCGGTCAGCTAGTTCTATATATATTGTACATAGCATGGGGCTTCCACCTATCCACCGTACAAGTGACAGTGACTGTACACATGGCTCCCACCTATCCACCGTTCAAGTGACACTTGGCTCCCACCTATCCACCATTCAAGTGACAGTGACTGTACACATGGCTCCCACCTATCCACCGTTCAAGTGACACTTGGCTCCCACCTATCCACCATTCAAGTGACAGTGACTGTACACATGGCTCCCACCTATCCACCATTCGAGTGACAGTGACTGTACATCTGCCTCCCACCTATACTCCATTCAAGTGACAGTGACTGTACATCTGCCTCCCACCTATACTCCATTCAAGTGACAGTGACTGTACATATGGCTCCCACCTATCCACCATTCAAGTGACAGACTGTACACATGGCTCCCACCTATCCACTATTCAAGTGACAGTGACTGTACATCTGCCTCCCACCTATCTACCATTCAAGTGACTGTACACCTGGCTCCCACCTATCCACCATTCAAGTGACTGTACACATGGCTCCCACCTATCCACCATTCAAGTGACTGTACACCTGGCCTTGTCATTGCATTGTCAGTGTCACTGGAATGGTGGATAGGTGAAAGCCAGGTGCGCACACCATTACAGTGACACTGCCACCTACAAACACCGCAAGTGTCACTGGAATGTCAGATAGGTAAAGGCCAGATGCACATTCCATTCCAGAGACACTAAAGGCTGTGACACTGCACGTGAAGCGGTGGCGTGCTGCCTTCGCGAGCAGTGTGTCATGTCATTTGCTCCTCGGCACGTCAGCTTACGAGAGCTCGCGTAGCTGAGTGTGCCGAGATGAAAAATGTCATCTTCAGCCAATCGGCTCACGTGTATAAACCCACTCGTTAGCATGTGACGTCTGGCTGGTTGTTAAGCACGAGCCAATTGGCTGAAGGTGCAGTCAATCATCTGACTGCACCCAGCTCACACACTGCATGCAAAGCTCCGTGCCGGACAGCTTTGCTTCGCTCTGCACGGCTTTGAGTGCAGTGTGTCACTTAACAATTCTCCTGTCCGGAGATGTAGCAGATCAAAATTCTGGTTATTTCCGGCAAGTTCCCTCCTAAGCCTATGAATATGGATTCAGTATACGTATTGTACTCGTTTCTTTTCATCTTATGGATGTGTATACAGACACTTACCTGAAGTCAAGAGTGATTTCTGGAAATCCCCCTTAAAGTGCTTATTTATAGTGTCTTCTATGTCAACTGAGGTGGATTTCTTGTAGTGGTCAAAGACTAGGAAGAAATAGGTGCAGCAGACAGTAAGGTAAAGAGTTTCGTTTTTTGAATATTTTTCTATTTATCATCATTAAGGCTCCATTCATTATGCTACATGTTTGTCTTGTAGTCCTGATGAAGGGGGAGGGTTGTTGCCCTGAAACTTGTTGGTTGTTTTTGTTTGATCACATTGTGAACTCTTTTACCTTTTGGTTTGACGCCCTTTGTTTCTGAACATTGAACTGGTTACCCAACAAAGGAGGTCTGTTTGGTTTGGGATCTGTTGGGATCTGTGCCCGTGAACTTATTTGCAAACTTCCCTGCACCTGGACAATTTGAATGAGCACAGAAACTGAAGGGGAAGAACAAGACCTTTAATGTCATACGTGAAGCTGAAGTTTGGGAATTACACATCAAATACCCTTGCAGTGCCAGCCCCCCCCCCACCCCCCACACATTGCAAGGGTTAAGCTTTTTCTTTAGAATTTAACTCTTGCACTGGGGGAAAGGGGGAGGCGCTGCAAAGGTTAAATGCTCGTTAAGTCTAGAGGTAGAGGGATAAGCTTTAATGCGTACCTTATTCTTCACTCTGGCAGGCTCCCTCCATCTGTGTGACCGGTCCCCTGAAGTCTCTTCTCTAAGGCACTCTTAATGGTGGTCACACACTAATGTGTTCATATACAATGCAGGACCAACAACCTTGCATTGTACCTGAGGATGGCGAGGGCCCGCCCGCAACTCGGAGCATCAGGGAGAAGAGGTGAGCACCGGAGTCTGCCAGAGAAAGTATTAGGGTAATTATTACAGTTTATTCTACCCCTACACTTAATGAGCATTAAAATCTTGCAGTGAAGTGCAGGGAGGTGGAGCACTGCAAGGGTAGGTTTTTCATAATTCCCAGAGTTCAGCTTTAACTATGTAGAGCTGTGTACAACTCAGAACTGGATGGACAGAAATACAAATCCTTTAGCAGGTACAGGGGTGGACCTACCGCTGGTGCAACTGCTGCGGCTGCACCAGGGCCAGAGGCTGGGGGGACCCATTAAGATCTGGTTCTGCCCCCCCCCCCTAATGGAGGAGGCATGGCCACATGGTCGAACAGGCTTCTGGGGGGGTATTTACAGGACCCCTGCCTCCTCCTAGACACCAGAGTTTGGAGCATACACCCCTACACCGCGTATCACTTGTCCTGCATCGCATAGTACATCACGCCCAGCGCATCATATATCCCGGACCTTCATCATCATCATGGAGAAGATGCTGAACGACTTCAGTCCAAGCCGCCCTCAGGGGTCCCTCATGCGACCCTCCAAACTGCTGCCATGTGGCCTGAGCCTGCTGAGCCCGGAGCCTGGGGTGCTGTCCCCCTTCACCAGCCTGGCCTCTACCATGAACCGGTTGGCCGGCCTATAGAGGTATGCAGGGTGGGGAATGGATTAGTACTCTTTCCCCTCCGAAATAGAATGATTGTGCTTATGGACCCAATATGGTGGATTGCATGAATGTCCTGGCACCCTGCCCTAGAGAAAGAATATTGCACCCGGACCCTTTCTTCCTTAGGTTCGCCTGTGTGCATGTACAAGCCCCCTTATAAGTATTTCAATTGTCCATTAAACTGTTTGCTTGGACTTCGGCTTTAACATTATATCTAATCATGATAAAAATAACTGTACCTCGTCTGAGATGTCCTTTTGGTCTTTCTGTAAAGATTGTTATCCACTGAGCATCGTTGGGGTTATTTTTAGGTCCCAGGTTACTCAGCATCTTGAAGAAAAAAAAAGGATAGATTCCAGAAAGGTCATGATTGATATATAGGAACTGTCATTGCTGACTTGCTTTTGAAGAAGTACATTCCAGATGTGTAATTTCATCTTCCATACTACATTCATAAGAAGAAGAAGGCTTACATTTGTGGTCAGTGGTAACAATGCCCCTCTTCCATTGGTGGTCAGAGGGAAGAATGTTCCTTACATTAGTGGCCAGTGGGAAGAATGCCCCCCTTACATTGGTGGTCAGTGGGAAGAATGCTGCTTACATTGGTGGTCAGTGGGAAGACTGCCCCATACAGTGGTGGACAGTGGGAAGAATTTCTCCTTACATTGCCGGTCACTGGGAAGAATGCCCCTTACATTGATGGTCAGTTTGAAGAATGTGCCCCTTATTTGATGGTCAGTGGGAAGATTGTCCCCTTACATTGGTGGTCAGTGGAAAGAATGCACCCCTCACATTGGGGGCCATTGGGCCCCTTACAATGGTGGTCAGAATTCCAGTCATTCAGACAGCTATAAAGATCATTGGTGTCATGCCACTAGCTCTGCCAAATACCATTTCCTGCAACCAGGCAGGCACCTTCAAATGGGATGTCAATCAGCCACAGCTCAAGGAATGCCTTGCAACCCCTGAAGGAACCATAGGGTTCACTAGTGTACAGGTTTAGAAAGGCTGCTCTGTGTTATCAAGTGCCATAGCAGCTATCCTCAACTAGGATTCTGTGGAACCCTAAGGTTCCTCCAGAGGTAGCCAGGGGTTCCTGGAGCTGTGCTTGCAATTACAACCTCCAGACATGGATGATGTTTATGCATGCCCAAATATATACTTAACAAGACCATCTAGACAGCAGCATACAAGCTATATTATCATCCTCTAGCCCTATGTTTGAAAAGAGACCCTATCACTATCTGCTGTTCATCAAACTAATGGCAAGCAGGCAGGTACTTACAGGACCCCTGCCTCCTGCATTGATGTGCTTCAGATCAGCATAAATATCTTTGCGGCAATCCTACTACAAAATGCACACTACTCGGAGTGTCAGATAGTAAACCTTCTGGGCCACCTTCATCTCTGCCCTTATTCTAGCGAACGACATGGAACTTTTCTAAATGAACCCCTTAAACTTGTCAATGTGCGCTATGAGATAATATCAGTATACACCACTAGAGGGCGCAATAAGAGCATAAATTAATTAGCAACATACCTTAGAATCCTGTTCAATCAGTCCATAGTCAATAATCCTAGATTCCTTTTCTCTCTTGCCCTGGAAGGAAAGGTATGATTTATTTCAGAATAGATGAAAACAGTGTGGCATTTACAGAATATTTGATCTGTTACCTTGACCAGGGCCAGGAGAAGCGCAGTGTGTGGTTCTTTTGTGTCCGATGTGATGTCCTTTTCCAAGTCTGTTTTAAACTCTAATAAAATGACAACATGGAAAGTTGGCAGGACAGGCTATGAGCAGACTTTAGCTTTTAACATACCTTTTAGATTGTTACATTGTACACAATACCTGTAGTTAGGGATGGGTGAGCAGCCCTGGACGCACACTGTCTGCATCCAGAGACCCTCATCTGCCCTAGCCACAGGTATTAGCTCCTTGTGCATACATACATACGATTACTCTTCACCTCCTACCTTGCTTGTAGCAGACCCGGATGGCTTGCAGCTGTTCATTTGATCTGGTGGTGAGGATTTCACTTAGTGCAGCTTCATCTGTCCCTAATCCCTGTAATTGAGATAAACACTGATTACCACTATTCTGAGTTTCCTTCAAATCTCCCAGCATGTATCACTGACTCCATATTGACTGCACACAATAATATAAACAGCTCCCAGTTTAAAATTCCTTTTTTATCTTGGTACATAGTAACTTAATTGATATAGATAAAGATACAGCGAGTACTCATGTATTATTTGAACACAACATGGAATAGGTTGGTATTAGAGCAATTATTATTACCAATAAGCCCAGCTCAACTGTACATTTTAGGGTAGCGGGGAAGGGTCAGAATTATAGATCTATTTTTGCTTGGGTCCCCAACAGGGAGCTTGTTTTCACCTCTGGTTTATTCACTGGGACAGGATGTGAAGACAAATCTCCCTTATGGGGAAACAGACAATAATAAATCTATGGTTTTAACCCTTCACCACTACCTTAAAGTGAGCTGCCGAGAATCTCAAAAATGGCAATAAAAAGCTCACATAACTTTGAAGCATTCCTTACTCTGATAGAAGAGTTCCCAAATCGATTTCTGTGCCCCAGTTCAGGATATTTTTCTCCCTTCCCATCCCAGTCACAACACAGGCAGGGAAAATATCCCCATAAGGGACATAGGCAGTAATATAAAACTGATAGGGAGGACTAACTATCTAGAACTAAAAAAAAGTTGACTAAATTGAGGTTTTGATATTTCCACGGAAGTCTTCTCTGAAGAACATCTCACCTTCATTGCCGCTTTCAGCTCCTGAGAGTCATATGCAGCTGGGGTCTTCAACAAACCAACAATTACCCTCTCCAGATCCCCCGAGAAAGCTTTCTTAACATTCTCCAGCAAGTCCTGCCAATATAAAAATTGATATTGGTACAGTTTTAGGGAAACTCCAGTTTAGTATTCCTCTCCAGGTCAGTTCTATGCATTGAATGAATGTTAGCATATTTTGTGTAGATCCATGCCAGCCTCTGTTCTGTAAATGCTGAGACGGGTCATGCCATTGAACTTGCTAAAAGTCAGTGTGAAAAGGCCAAGTCTGCCTGTTTGTATCCCATGAATATTCTTATGTTCCCCCGACATGCATGACCAGTATATCACCAGAGATGAAAGGCTTCTTATTACTATTCCTGAGGAATTTGAGGTGATCCCTCAAAATGTTGTGCAGATATCTAAGTAAAGCAGTCAGCTAATCACATGAGCATGGAGGATAAGTATTTTTGGAAGTCATATTTATGTTTGCAAGATATATTTAAAGTTTTTAATGCTGTACTGATAATTAGCACCTACTGACACTTGTGCTTGTGTAATGTCAGATGATTTTGAAGCTTGTTTAAGTGTGCTTCATGTGTTTTCAAGCTTTGCCGTGGCCATTGTAATCCCTCTATATGCTTCCTGGCTTTTCTGTGTGGTATCCTGGTATCTTGTGCCATTGGATCTACCATTCCAGGAAAATGTCACACCTAGTTTCTTTCCAGGCCCTCTTTCCACAATTACCGCTTTCCACAATTTTTATAATGGGCATCACTGAGGTCATGGAGGTTCCTTTGGTCCCTCACCAGATGAATGAATGTCTCTGCATCCAGCATGGACACTCCTAAATTGTCCATTTTGTTCACAGTCCTGAGGTTGCGATAGCAACCTGAATCTGCTCCCTGGCTTTTCTATGTGTTATCCTGGTGTCTTGTGCCATTGGAGCTCCCATTCCTGGAAAATGTCACGCCTAGTTTCTTTCCAGGCCCTCTACCGCTTTCCACGGTTTTTATAATGGGCATCACTGAAGTCATGGAGGTTCCTTTTGGGCCCTCGCCAGATGGATGAATGTCTCTGCACCCAGCATGAACACTCCTAAATCAACCATTTTGTTCACAAGCCCGAGGTTGTGAAGAGGGTATAAGGCTTGAAAAACATGCAAAAACACATTCACTCATGTAGTGCGCTTTTTAGGAGCTCCCATTGAAGTCTATAGGGGTAAATGATGTGTGATTCTCCCCAGAAGCTATAATTTTGCGCTGAAGTTGCTAGAGGGCCTGACCATTATAAATAGGGAAGCAGGTTGTTCACCACGGCAGTAGAAGTGATTTTTTTCTGAAGATATGGGTAAGCAACGCGATTTAACAGTCTTTGAACGTTGGATGATTGTTGGCACGAGCCATGGAGCGAGTATCAGCAAAAAAAACCTTTGAACAATGAGCCCCTCTTGAACATTTAACGAATTCTGCTAAGTGTTTAAAGACCGGACTGTCAGCCGAAAATCTGGGTCTGAACGTGCGAATTGTGGCCGTCAGCGACTAGTCAATGTTAGGGCAGAACGCAGGGTGGCAAGACTGGTACAAGACAACAGAAGGGCAACAGTGCAGTGTCAGATCCCTCGCATCACCTTTCAACATCTCGTGGAGTCACAAGGCGTCCCAACGAAGTCATCTCGTGGAGTCATCTCGTGGCCCAACGAAGTACTGATGGGGTGGTCATAATAATCTGGCCACTCAGTGTATATTATTTTATTATTGTATTGTTGATGCATTTTAATTAGCCCAGATCAGGTACAAAACCGTAGTGGGGCTGATACTACCATACACTGGATTGTTGACTGTGGCACCTATCTATATTTACTTATATGTAGGAAAATGTGTCAATGGTCACTGTCTCTGGGACAGGAAAGCGGATGAAGTCTCCTCAACGTGGACAAAAATAACAATAAAACCCCAACAGAAGGGGAAATCGCCTCAATGGGGTCACATAGATAAAAACCTGCAAAGGTTTTAACACTCCCCATGCTATTCTTGCCTAAAAATAAGTTTTAGATGGAGTTTTACTTTAATGCAACCTGTAATGTATGGTTGAGGTATAAAGTTTCCCATAAAAATAATTTTTGGAGGTTTTTATTTTTCCATTTTTTTTTATTGCTCTAATTTCTCTGAATTATACTGTGGTTACTGCACAAAAGTATGTAGCACAAAGGTAAAATGAACCTGCGTGGATATCACATGCATGGCACAGGTATGGACACCTGACATGTATTTATTTAAATCTGTTAAAAAAAGAAAGGTATGTTCGGTATTTCTTTGAACCAAACATACTTTCCATAGAATTTCCTGCTAAACAAGCTTCTCATAGTACACATATTTGTACACTTTATCTGAGCCACAAAAAGATGTGAAGAGGGGATAGGAATAGCAGGCGAGCATGCAGCAAGGCAAAGGTTACACAGGCAAATGAGAGAGAAGGCCAGGCAATCTCAAAAGCAAGATTCACGAAGAAGGAGGAAGCACACTACAAAATGAAACGTAACAGAGATATACTCCTAGGTGGTTTTCAAGAATATGTTGAAATATGTTGAAATGTTTCAAGCCTCTTTATTTTATAGGAGAAGATTGTGTGTCATGGCACTTTTTGCTTGGTTTAATGTTTAAAGTCTGACCCATTGCTCCATCAGTCACCACGCTACCTTATGTGGTTGTAATGCAATCACCTTTTCTGGACCACACCTTCCAGCAGTCTCTGCAACATCACCACCTTGTGGACAATGGACAGTGAAAGTAGAAGAGAGTCTGCCACTGCCGTTGCCCAAACCTCAAAACTTCAAAAGATCTTTGGAGACAGCTGATCAGGAATGTCAATCACTGGTCAAAGGGGGTTCTGGGGGCCAAGGGGGGAATTCCGCAGTAGTAATCTCACAAACATCACGATGCTGTCCCACATGCTCTTGGTATCTAAGGGGGAAGGGCAGTAACTGGGCAAGCCATATGAAGCAGCTGAACTGAGAGAGGTTGCTGGATCACCAGCAGCTACTGCAGTCAAAAGTGGGTTACTTCTACATGAACATTGGTGCTCATCAGGGTCGTTTACTTTTTTATACCTGAGGGGCTCACCCAAAGTCATCACAGCAGATGTAAAGAAATTACAGCAACAGCAATAAAAAAAGGATACCTTGAGCTTCTTCACAACCCTTCTGGATTAAAAAAAGTCACTCACAGGCTCAATAGCAAAGGTCCTACTCTAATTCTGAGTACTCCTTCTGGTGCCCGGCCACTCTATAACTTGGTTCCTCTCCAAACCTTGGTTGCAGGCTCAGTGATTAACCCAACACGTTAACACTACTGTGTTCCAGACCTCGCTCTCAATAATGGCAATGATCGCTAATGCGCATCCACACTCTGCTTGGGGGTTCCACCACCACTCGCGATCAGCTCATACTAACCCCACGCTGCACTGAATGAGTCAAAAAGTAACCTGCAAGTGTCAGCACTACACCTAGCTTCGGCGCCACAGATACTTTGAGGAAGGACGGGTTGGACCCCTTAAACCCCCCTTTTCTACACCCCAGGAGCTCATAGTAATATGGTTGACTAATACCATCATTGTAACACATCCTTCATATCTGTACAGTTAGATTTATACCCAGAATTCTACTCCCAACCCAACCCATTAGGTTGTGAGGGGCTAGAACCTACTACTGCTATTTGTCTTCTGTAGGTCTCGGGTTGGGTTTAGGATTGTCCTGGTCATATGCAAAACTCAGGAACAGAAGCAGACTGGCAGCACCAATGAATAGCAGCCATTCTTAGAATCCAGTCAATTCAAGGGAATTTAGAAATGCACAGGTTCGCTTCATCTCATTTTAGATTTTAGTAAATGTCACAGTCTGATCACTGGGTGAGAGGAGACTAAGGCAATGCTTCCTTCTGCCAGCAGCAGACTGATAACATATTCCCAGCCTAGCTACAGTCACTGATTATAAATCAAGCATCACAGATCTGCATCCCCTCACCTTGTGACTTACTGCAAAGTTACAATGTACAGGGGGAGGGAACAACAGGAACCTCAGGCAGTTGAAAGTATTCAACATGCAGGAAGATGATGCAGAGTGCAGGATCAAAGTATTCCTGCATGTGGGCAGCTGTAACCACCAGGTGAGGATCACAGTCCTCCATGTCCATGCAGACCAGGAAGATGTCGTACCACATGTTGTTTTTGAGTCATGGAGATATATTCCAGTTAATGGTCACTCAATGATTTGTAAGACACCACCGAAATAAAATGTATTATTGAGCTATTACTGGCCATACCTGCTTTTGTTCTTCCTTGTACAGGCGAATTACCTCTTGCCTCTGTTCATTGTTAAGCGATGTAACAGTGTCAATGATTGTTTGCTGGTCACCTGTCATTGTATAGACAGAATTCATTACATATCAATGTCAACATGCAAGTTAGATAAAAAGATATCCATGTGAAAAAAAACCCATCTTAAAAGGAGGTTTCCGCTTTAGAAGTTAAATGTGGACCTTTACTGCAGAACTGTGCAGGCATCCACTTTATCAGCAAACCATAAGGCTTATACATTAAACATCATAATCAGCAAAGTGCAAAGTACAGCAAACCATAGACAACAATTCTAGTTTTCTTTACTAAAGTCAGAACCAGTAGAAAAATTGATTGTGATTGCCTGCTGTAGGGAGTGTTTGACCATGGGCACTAGGGTGTGTCTGACTATGGACATTGGAGAATGTTTGACCATGGACACTAGAGAGTGTTTGATCCATGGGCAATAGAGAGTGTGTGACCTAGGGACACTAAAGAGTGTTGTACCATAGACGCTAGAGTGTGTTAGACCATGGAAGTTAGAGGTTAGAGAGTGTTTGGCCATAGATGCTAGAGAGTGTTTGGCCATAGATGCTAGTGAGTGTTTGACCATAGATGCTAGCAAGTACCATGGATGCTTGATAGTGTTTGACCTTGGAGCCTAGATAGTGTTTGACCATGGAGGCTATAGAGTGTTTGACCATGGGTAATAGAAAGTGTTTGACTTAGGACACTAGAGAGTGTTGGACCATAGACGCTAGAGTGTGTTAGACCATGGAAGTTAGAGAATGTTTGACCATGTACTTTGGAAAGTGTTTAACCATAGATCCTAGAGAGTGTTTAAACATGGACGTTAGAGAGTTTTTCACCATGGACGTTAGAGAATGATTAATCATGGAAGCTTGATAGTATTTGACCATGGACACTAGATAGTGTTTGACCATGGACACTAGATAGTGTTTGACCATGGACACTACATTGTGTTCTAGAAGAGAATCAATGGAACATACTTTATTCCATGGTCCCGCAGCAGCCAACGCACCAAATTCTCACCTTGGAATGTGGGTGGTCCCTTGATGTCATCACATACCATGACGGACCCATAGTGGTCACCATTCCTGAATTGTACGTAATGACGTCAGTCAGAGGGTAAGTGTCATCACCATAGGAACCAGCAGTAAGGAAGCCTATGGGACCATGAAGTAAGATAAGCAGTCCTCTCTATTAGAGCCCTCTAAACTAAACAAGCATTATACCATGTAGGGTTGGGGAGGTAGATTTAGTCTTTTTGATCATCCACATAGTTGGACTTTTTTTTTTTTTCTACATAAAATTACATTTATTTCGTAAATGGACCATTTGTAATTTTTACATAATAACTATGGGCTTATTGATTCAGCAGTAACTTGGCCATAGGGTGTCATACCTGGTTTGTTTTGTGGGAAGCAATCTAGTGAGGCCTCTGTTGTCATTTGGCCACATATATATATA